TGGTCTCCTCATATTAAAATGGTGAACTCAAACTTCAATGCAAAGATTTCTAAGCTTAAACAGATGAGGACCTTCAACCGATCCACTCTGGATTCTATTTACTTCAAAGGTATTCTGCCAAGCGTAACTTATTGTATATCTTTGTGGGGATCTTCCAACTTGTTGGCCGACCTCGAGGATTCGCACATCCGTGCTGCCAGACTGATTCACAAGATCAGCACAAATATCCCAAAACATGAAGTTCTTAGCATAGCAAAATGGACATCTATACATTACATGTATAAGAGAAGACTTGCCTGTATTGCATACCAGGCCTTTCACAACCTAGCTCCTGATAACATAAACAGTTTATTTACAAAGCACCAGACCTCATACAATTTAAGAGATAACTTAAGATTTGCTCTTAAATGTCCTAAATCCAAAGCCCTGCACAATTCTTTCACTCATCGCGCTAGTATTGTCTGGAATTGCCTACCTAGTCAGTTAAAGTCTAAGCCTAGTTACTCTTCTTTTAAGGCTAGTATTAAGAAATTCTATAAATGCATTGACCAAATTAATTTCGGCTCAAACTCCACTGCTACCAACAATATCAGTGACGAATTTAAGTACTACTGATATCTAGTTTGCCATCCTGTTATCTTATTATTATTATTACAATTATTATTTATCTAAAATTTTTTAATGTAAATTTTATCTTTGTATTTATTTTCCTTTAAATGCATTGTTTGAGTTAATTTGACTGATACTAATATTTATATATATATATTTACTTACTTATCCTACCCGTATATATAATGTATTATTGATACGTATGATTATTCATACTAGGAGACGTATATATTTTTAGCTGTTTATTAGTAGATAGCAGGTTCACATCAGCATTAGCTGCCATTTCTTCAACCTGCTTTACCAAATAAAGGATGTATGTATGTATGTATGTATGTATGTATGCAGCAGACAAGGGACAAGGGAGCCAGCTCTTGGCTAAACGCCACTCCAATCGAAAAACATGGACTGGCTTTAAACAAGCAGGAGTTTAGGGACTCCGTTTGCCTCCGCTACAACCTCCCTCTGCCTAATCTCCCTAGTTTCTGTGCTTGTGGAGAAATCTTTCCTGTCAACCATGCCTTGTCATGCAAGGAGGGAGGTTTTGTTACCCAGAGACACGATCGCGACACAATCCGAGATCTACTGTCATTACACATCAGTAAAGTGTGTAGAAATGTGGAGACAGAGCCACTCCTGCAGCCACTCGACAATGAAGTTTTTAACCTTCAGTCAACTGTCACAAGTCGAGAAGCGAGGCTGGACATGAAGGCATGAGGCTTTTGGACACCAGGAGTAACAGCATCTTTCTACGTACGTGTAACGCACGTTAACCCCAGGTCCAACCAGGGCAAGTCCACAGCTACGATCTTCGAAGAGCAAGAAAATGAGAAGAAGAGGAAATACAACCAGAGAGTGATGGGTGTGGGAATGGAATTCTTTACACCGTTGGTGTTTGGTACAAACGGAGGCTTGGGACTTGACTGTCAGAACTTTTTAAGAACCCTCACAAATAAGTTTTCGAACAAGAATAATGAACCCTACGTAGCCTTTCCTGGCTACGAAGATAACTTTCATTTGCTATATTAAGAACTGTACACAGTTGCATAAGAGGTTCTAGAGTTCCGTTTAAATCCCTTGAGGTCTTAGAAGACTTCACCCTCTCTGTAGCTGGTTTACATCTGCACTCATAATTTTAGGTTTTTATATTTTGATTGTTTTTCCTATCTCAGTAAATGCTAAATCTTTTCTTTTACATATTTTGTCATTAGTCTTCTATCGTGAACACTAATATCTAATTCATTTAAAATTTGTAAATAGTTAGATATATGGTTTCAGATTGTGGGTGATTGCTTTTATTAACAGAGGTAGTCATTGTTATTAAGTGAAAAAAAATTATCATTACAATTAATGCTTCAGAAAGACACAAGTAAGTAAGAACTAACGATGTAATGTTGTTATTGGTGTTATTGTTGACACTAGTTACAGATCGAAGTGGGGAAGATAAATGACTGACATTGAATCTTGTAAAAATCTATACCATATAGCCTGAGCTAAACAATATCGATGTTTTCATCTTGACCCTGGCTAGTAGATCTACACTGTATTTACAGAGCAGGTATCATTAACGAACAAAGATGCTTAACATGCATAACATTTTTACTCACGTTTGGGCGTAAATGCTTGCACCACAGTGCAAATGGAAAAGCTGGAGGATAGTCTTCTAGATAAATTATTGCTTTCATTTTGATGAAAACGGATTTTGCCAGGTTTGGGTTGTTGGTATTATCTGCCACTTTAATAGCTGATAAAGCAAGAACGACATCATTAACATAGGATGGTTTTCTGTTTTTATACTATCATTAAGAGCGGAATTTTAGTGGAGTTTCTAATATAATTGCAAACTAACAAAAAGAAAGCTAGATAAATTAATTCTATTTTAGTTCTCCCTTTTGTCGAACTGTAGGAGTAGAAATTGTGACTGTATAATAAATACTTTAATCCATACATAAGTAGTATTTAAACAGGATGAGTGGCCCAGTTAAAAAATGCTGATTTAATGGGGACCTGTATAAACAATCTAAATATATTAATACATCTATATAAATATAGAACAGACAAACGAACCCACAAACCATGTACAACTGCAACGCATGAATGGCTGAAATATGTCCTGTGCCAACTACGTGGCATTACATTTGATTACCAAAATAAGACAAGGTTTACACTAGAGGAGAGTTTTCCGGATTCGTAAATGTTTCCGGATTCATCAATTTTGGAGTATTCGGATTCGTAGGCGTTTACACTGAAAGGATATTCGGATTCCTGACCGTTTACACACAACGACAACTCCGGGAACATTCGAAATGGAATGGTTACCAAGCCCAGTGTTGTTTCGTCGTTCGATCGACAAAGTGAAAATGCCTCCCCCAAAAAAGGCTAGAGTAGATCCAGATGCCACTGAGGCAAATTTGAGTTGGACAGATGCCAAGCAGTCTACGTCGTCGGCGATTAAGTGTGGCTGACGTTAAACTTCCTTGCAATAATAATTTGCGTTTCTTCAGAAATACTGCGGTACACATGATAAAATTTATCGCCTGAACCTGCAACAAGATTAGGCAACCGGAGACCGCCAGCAATGTTAGCACCAGATCCATTTTGGTTTCACCGCAAACTCAAAAGATTGCAGGTGGAAATAATATCCGGATTCGAGAAAAAAAGCGGTTACACGACAAAACTTTCCGGATTCAAAAGTTATCGGATTCAAAGTTCCCACTTTAAATTCCGGATTCAAAATCTCCGGAGACACGACCAAACCGGGAAGTTTTTATTTCGGATTCGTCCACTTTCGTGTAAACGGCAGAATGAATCCGGTACTAAAACGTTTCGGATTCATCACGAATCCGGAACAATTTCCTCTAGTGTAAACCTAGTCTTAATGTATAAAGCG